TGTCCCAAAAATGTCTCGCAATCCGGAAATGGCGGGTTCCTCGGATCATTTGAAGCAACTTTTTCCTTTACGAAAATTTTCTCCGAGGCACCGTTAACGAGTTATCAACGAAAAGCAGCGACCAATAAGAATCGAGTACGGCTGACGCGAAGCGGCCCAGCCAACCAGCGCGCGAAGCCCGGTTCCGCTCATTGGCTCGGTCGCCGCGCGCCGGCCGAGCTCGCCTCTCATTGGTCACTGTTTTTCGTTGATAACTCGTTAACGGTGCCTTGGAGAACATTTTCGTAAAGGAAAAAGTTGCTCCAAATGACCCGAGGAACCAGCCACTTTCGGATTGCGAGACATTTTTGGAACACCCGTACTTGTAAACACTCGTTGTTCACTGTTTTTATGCGAGGAATTTCATAAAGTAACGAGAGGGCGACGTTGAAGTACAAAAAAATATAAAATAGAGCTGTCGCAAGAGATTGTTGACTCGAAATAGCCTCGAGTGGGGGAACAGAAGGATTTAGGAAAATTAGGAAACGACTACGAATGGAACTAGAAAGCTCCTCGAGATTTTCTAACCTGCTGGCACAGGTGCGAAACTCGAGAAATCCGTGACTTCGTTGCTTCGACGAGGACTGTACCGAATTTTACGACGTTACTAAAAAAAAGAAAAAAGTCACCCCTGCGCCGCATGTTTAAAAATATAAATCCGAAAAATTCCAAATTTCCACACCGAAAAGATTGTCTCGCGAACAGAACAGATATTTTTTTAATGAGAAAAATGCTGCATTCGTGTTCCTCTGCCTCGTCCTCGTGCCTCGCGAACGTTTAAATTTCGACACCGTGTTTGGAAAAAAATTCTATATTATTAGGATAATTACACGTCTGCCTGCTTAACTTCCGCCGTCTCGTGCGACCAGATTTTAATGGCCACCGTGACGAGCGTATTTTTCTAACGGAAACGCGACGAAAATTGAGCAGCGAACGTGTAACAGAATGATTAAATTATGCGCGATACGACTGACCAGAAAGAGGGGGGGGGGCATTTTTTGGGAGCGAGAGCGGGCCAAGATGGCGGACGAATCGCAGCAAAATTTCGTTCCGCGATTATCGTTCGGTTCGCTTTCTTCCGTCGTTTTCAAAGCCGTCTGTCTCGAGCCTAATAACTTTCCTCTGTTCTGTCAGGCGGTGGACCGAGAGGAGTTCGGCGGAACCGGTGTTGGCCTACGAAAGTGAGCCTCCGCGTGTTCTTTGGGTCGTTCGACAGCGATCGCGGCTGAGAACTATTTGTTCTTTTCGATAGACGCGAAAAAAAGACGCGGCGAGTAGAGCGTAGAGAAAACGCGATGATAAATTACTATTTATTACTATTATTACTATTACTATTTATTACTATTTATTACTATTATTCTCTACTGAGAAGAAGAAGAGGGGAGACGACGACGAAGAAGAAGAAGGGAAAAATGGAGCGGTAAAGTCGAACGCCGTGGAACAAGAGAATTCGCGCTTCCTCTGTCGAGACTGTACCCGCGGTTTCTGCAGTGGCGTGCATGCGTGCGCACGGTTGCACGGTGGCTGTGTGCGCGGCGCGTACGTCGGCGTGGCGCGGTTGCGTGTGTGCGTGCGTAGAGAGAGAGAGAGAGAAACGACTGGAGCCGCAGATTCCATTTGTCCGGCGCGCGGGCGCGCGCGCGCGCAAACTCTGCAATTCGCGACTCGACTCCAGAATCTCTTCTTTCTTCCTCGAGCGAGCGAGCGAGCGAGCCAGGCAAACGGGCGAGTAAGCGCGCGCGCGCCCTCCCTCTCTTTCGCCTTCTTCCATCATTTTTCCGTCTTTTTCTCTTCCGAGACGGTTTCTATCCGCCCCCCCCCCCCCTCTCCGCAATGCTCGTTCTCCCGAAACCGACCGTGCCCTCTTCCCTCGCGGCGCAGCGTGTCTCAGCCGCCTGAGCTCGGCTCTCGGCTCGCGTCGGCTCAGCTCGGCTCTGCGTGGCGCGACGTCTCGCCCGTTCGCGAGTTACGTCGGGTCCAAGTCGCGTCGCACCGCGCCGCGTCCAGCCGAGGCTCGGACTTCGCAAGTCGGATCGACGCAGGGCCGACCCTTACGGACCCTCCGGGTGCTATGGGGCCCGTTAACGCCGACGGAAGTGGGGGTAATTCGATCTTCTTCTCCGTGTTGTCCACCAACACTTCTTAACATGCCGGTTATTAAACTATCGTGCTAAATTTACCGACCCTGCACACCAGACACGCACGCACGCACGCCTCTGATCACAGATTACGCGTCGCCAGCTCGAATTACAATTGAATCGTGCCATGATTTCGGAAATGTTTCCGCTCGATCTGTACCGCGCGATTCTATGTATTTTCGTGGATCTTGCTTTCTTCTTTGTTCGAATAATCTCTTCGATGTCCAACGGCTTCCATGTTTCAGACTGATTTATACGATCAGTTTTAATCTGATCTGTGCTGTTTTGCTACGAAAAAGTCTAGAGAAAGTAGACGCGCGATGACTGAACGATCGAGTCAATATCTGATGAATTACGAATTTTTTCGTCGAAATTTTCCGGGAACTTGAAATCTTTTTATCGGCGTTGCATTCGTGTCTATTTCGTAGACCGTTTCTCGTCGAATCGAGATTATATCGTTGGTCAACGATCGAAAAGTAATTTCTTCAACAGCTTCTCGACGACGCACAGGAACCACCGGGGTCCTAACTTTGGGGGTACGTCACTGCGACGGTCTCCTCGCTCTCTGTCTTTCTCTTTTTCGTATATGCTCGAACACTTGCACACATGTTTATACACGTATATATACGTGCCAACATATATGTATACATACATGCGTATACAAATATATGTATATGTATATATATGTACATGTTCTATATACATATACACGCGTATAATAAAATATCTATGTAAATATCCAGTGTTGATCAGCGCGTTCACGCGAGTACATGAGGCTACCTTTGTCGCGCCGACGACGGTAGATCGGGCCTGTCCTTTCCGGTTTTCTCGCGAACCTTGCATCCGTCTTCGTCAGTCCGTGGCCGAACCCGTTCCCGCTCTTCGTCGTCTCCGTTCCGTCTCGTTCGTTTCCGCGCAGACCGTATTTCTGTTCTCGTCCGGCCGCCGAGGGAAGTCTTCCTTGCTCCCGCGGGAAACGAACGCTCTCGTTCTCCGTCGCACTCCCGCAGGAGCGACGGGCTCTCGCGTTTCTCTCGGGTACCGCAGACTTGCGCCTCGCCCTCCGCCCCGATCCCCACCTTTTCCACCCCCAATGCCGCCGCGTCGCGTCGCGCCGCTCCGCGCCGCGCCGAGCCGAGCAGCTCCGAGCCGCGCTGTGCTGTGCATCGTGCTCTCCGTCGCCCCTCCACACCGAACGGACTCTCTTGTCCCCTCCTGGCCCCCCCGCATCGCCGAGCCGCCAACCATGCCGCTTCCCACCGACCGACCGACCGACCGTCCTGCCACCCGCCGGTTTTCAACCCCTCGCCCCGCTGTCAGGGACTGGTCAGGTGCGCTGGCTCGCTCGCTCGCTCCACGCGAACGCTCAATCGTTCTCTGTCCACCGCCGAGCACGCATCCCCCGCGAGTCTCTTCCTCGTCGTACGCGCTCGAGCGCTGCCCGAGTCCGTCCTTGTTCGTCGCGTCGGCGAATTTCGCGGCGTCCTCCGCCTCCGCCTCTTCCTCCTCCTCCTCCTCCTCCGCTACCTCCACCTCCTCCTCCTCCTCCTCTTCCTCCTCTTCCTCCTCTTCCTCCTCTGGCTCTGGCTCTGGCACTGCCTCCTCCTGCTCTCCGCCGCGTCCTCTTCATCTCCTCGCTCCTCCGAATGCCGTGCGCCCTCAGCACGGAACGCCGAATGCCATTTCACTTTCGTTGGGCTTCGCCGCGTAGGAGATCGGGCCCTGCCAGGAATTATCCTCTCGTTCTACGTGGTCGTAACCTCCTCGTACACGGTTTCGTCTGGCTTTTTCACGACGTCGACTCTACTAACGCCGCCGACACCAGATCGTTTCCTCGTCGTGACTTCTGTGCCTCTTCTTCTTCTCCTCCTTCTCCTCCTTCTCCTCCTCCTTCTTCTTTCTCTTCCTTCACCTCCTCCTCCTTGTCCACCTCTTCTATTTCCTCCTCCTCCTCCTCCTCCTCCTCCTTCTTCTTCCTCTTCTTCTTCTTAGCCTCTTCCTTCTCTTCTTCCTGCGCCTCTTCCTCATTTTCTTGCTTCCGCCGCCGCCGCCGCACTTCCTTCGCCCGCCTTTCTTCCATCTCGCCACCCTCTGCTTCCTCTTTCCTCTCTTTCCGCCGCTTTTCCTTTCCGTCCTGCTACTACAACACCGTCGTCGTCGTCGTCGTCGTCGCCTTCACCGTAACTTCCCGTCGCCTCCTCCTCTCCCTCCCCCTGTCCGCCGCCTCGTCCCTTCGCGTTTCCCCGTCTTTCTCGTACGTCTCCGCTCTCTCGACGAGGGACTGCTCGCCCACGGACCATCGTAGCCAGGTGAGTGACAAACGATACACAACTTCCTTCGCGCCACGATGGAAGAGAAAGAGAGAGAGAGAGAGAGAGAGTGTCTCTCTTGCCGCGTCGCGTTATTACACTGGCCGTTGCTCCGATGGACTTCTTTCGACTGAACCGCCGGCACGGAAAAAGACGGAGAAAGAAAAACAGACAGACAGAGAGAGAAAGAGAGAGAGGGACGAGCAAGCGAGAGAGAACGATGGAATCAGCGAACAAGAGAGAAGTTTCGCGCGACCGACTGGATGTGCCCGCCGAACGCCGGACGACCGTCTCGTGCACGTGAACCGTGTCGTGGTGGTTTCTCGGGATATTTTTGTGCGCCGCGAACGGCTTCACGTGTGGATCCTACGATTCCCTTCGGGGACGACGCGACCGCGTCGTCGTCGCCGGGCGAATCGTGTAAGCCGGCCACGGAAAAGTGTGTTTTTCTCATGAATGGAACGGGAGCCGCGTCGATGTACGCGGCGTGCCGCGTAAAAGTGTTTACAACAAAGTCTCCGACGACGACGGTGGTGGAATATTATAATCCGGCGAGGAGAGAACGAACGCGCGGCGGCGGGGTCGTCGCGTACGCACGAGGCCGTCGATGAAACGCGTGCGGAGTGCGTCGGGTATGCGTTGAATAAATCATGCTCCGTCGGTGAACGCGAGAACTCGACGGCGGCGGCGACGACCGCGTTCCACGAGTTTTACGACCATTTTCTAAATCAAGAATTATCGGCGGCGGTTGAGTTGGGGATTTTCTGTTTGACCAAGCGGACCGTGCGAATCGTGTTAATCGTTCGGTCGACGCCGCTGGGGGACCGCCTTCGGCGATCGCCTCGAAAATCACGCTTTCGCAAGAGAACGCGGCACGCTCGCGCGCGCGCGCGCGCTCGACACAAGTCCGTCGCGTCGCGTCGCGTCGCGTACGAGAATCCTTTGGAACGCCTGGGCGAAACTGCGCCGTCCACATTATCAGGCTTCTTCTCCGTTTCACATTCGTAAACATTCCCCGTCACGCACGTCTTATCTCGCCGGTTTAAACCGCGCCGTTGTTAGATCATCGCGGAGAAGCCTCACGGCGATCGCGATATCGGAATCGCGTTTGTTAACCGACGTAGAAGTCCGGCTTTTTTCGCCTGTGCGAGCGTACGTTCTCCGTTTCGCCGCGACGGCGGCGGCAGCTCTTTGTGACACGCGATAGAGAGGCGACGCTTTTTGACGGCGTGACCGAGGCCGAGACCGTTAATTTCACGCGAGAGGCGACGGTTTTTTAAGCCGGGCGTTGCTCGTCGATCTTCTCTCAGAGTGGACGCGGAGATAGAAAAGATTCGCGGCGCGCAACGTGTTTCGATCTTCGCGGAAATGAATTAATATTCGCCGCGAGAAAAACAGCGGCGTAGGAAGCGCGCGGGTCCCGGCGGCGTGCTGTTCCGACGGTGGACGCGACGAAAATAGTCGCATCCTCGGGGCCGGGCATGCATATCGTATTCTTGCGTTTGCTCGAGGAGCACGTGGTGGCCGCAGTTCCATTCAGAAAGGAGGTTATGTAGCGTGGCGAAGAAGAGAGGAAGGTTATGCTCGTGACGCCCGTTACATTATCAATTCCGTTATGGCGCCGTATTCGTAATAGTGGAGACCCTACGACCATCTTCGGGGATTCCCCTGTGCGCTCTCCTCTCTCCTCTCTCTCCCGGTTTCTCTCTTTCACGTTTCTCCCTCTGGCCCGTTCTTTATCTCCCTCTCTCTCTCTCTCTCTCTCTCTCTCTCCTCTCGCCTCCGCGACGCTGCTCCACCTTCTAACCGGCACGCCTGTATAATGTACCTTTATAACCCCGTCTCTCGGCACGGTCTTACGACCGAGCAACCCCCGAGTGCCACCCCATCGCGTCCGTCCTTCCTTCCTTCCTTCCTGTTCCCCGCGAAACGATTCCACGGTCGATCTTTTTGCGGATTTACACCTGTTGGACTTCTCTCGGTTCTATCGTCCCCTTATTTCTTCCTGCGAAAGAACTCCACCCCGCCGTCGCCGTCGCCGTCGTTCCGCCCCGACGCGAGAGAACATCTTTCAACGATTCCCAACCAACCCCCCGCGCGCGCCGCGTCGTCCCTCCGTGTGCCCTCTTCTTCGCGGCTTTTTCCCGCCTTCGGGACACACGCGTTTCTAACTCGACCACCGACCCCCTCGTCGCCCCTCGCGTTCGATTCCCACGGGAGGAATCGTCGTGTTCGAGGCCTCCTCGTTCCTCGTCGCGCGCGACGCTAAGGGATGAAAAGACGGCGGGCGAAGCGAACGAGATTTCCCGCGACGATTTTTCACGCCGCGGTTTTACGCGCCGGTCACCGAATTTATGCCGAATTTATTCGCGAACGTTTCCGAGTCGTCGCGCGCGACGCTTCTCGAGACCGGCCGCCGCGTTAAGGGATGAAAAGACGGCGGGCGAGGCGCGAATTGACGATTTTTGACAGCGCGATTTTACGCGCCGGTCACCGAATTTATGCCAAATTTATTCGCGAAGAGAACGAAGAGAGAAAGAGAGAGAGATAGAGAGAGGGGCGTTGTTGCCGGTGCAGAAGGCACAGATCGGAAGTGGCCGACGGGGGGGTGGGATTTTTTTTTTCTTCTTCCGTCTCGCGTCAATTAGTCTGGGATAATTGGTCGGGCGATGCCCTTGAACCCTAAGTATTGATTGGTGAGGTTGGATTCTGCCGGTGGCTTTCCCTCTTGCCTCCGAACCGATGGCACCACCCCTATGCATCCACCGCCGAACCAACCAACTACACCCGCCCGCTCTCTAACCCCTGCACCGACACCCGCACTACCCTACCAACCCATTGCGCCTAGCGTCCGTGGTTCTCCAAGTCCCGTCTCTCCTCGTCGCCGACGCCGCCGCGCCGTTAAACCACTGGCCAAAACCACCCCGCCGTCGTCCCTGGGCTCTTTCTTCGCCGCCCTGCGTCCGTTTAATTGAACCATGACGGCTCCTCGTTTATCGCGGAAAAGGTGCTCTCTCTCTCTCTCTCTCTCTCTCTCTCTCTCTCTCTCTGTCAATCTCTCTCTCTCTCTCTCTCTCTGACAATCTCTTTCTCTCTCTCTGTCAATCTCTTTCTCTCTCTGTCAATCTCTTTCTCTCTCTCTCTCTGTCAATCTCTCTCTCTCTCTCTCTCTCTCTCTCTCTCTCTCTCTCGCCGAGTCTTTCGGCGGCCGCGGAACGCCCGATCGAATTTAACGCGACCCGACGACGGACGCGTCCATGGCATAATTAATTTTACTACAAATTAATATTATTACGCGATATCGTCGCATTACCAACGATCTCTAGGAGCTAGGGGATAGAAGCGGTCGTCGTCGCGGAGGATACATTGGCGCAGGGACCGCTTCTACGACCGCTTCTGCCATCGCTGCTGCATCGGCGGCGGTTAATTCCGTGCGACGACTACTAGCAAATCCGCTCGGAAATCCGGATCGAGAAAGAAATCGCGTAACTCCGGCGGTCGGAAGCGTCGCCGAGAGAGAGAGAGAGAGAGAGAGAGAGAGAGAGAGAGAGAGAAGAGTCCTAATTACTCGGGTCTCCGGGTTCGTCGCGCCATCGCTGTCGCCGCGGCATGCACGTCCGACAGGGAAGTTCGATCACCCTGCCTGCCTGCCTGCCGCGAACCAATACCACGAAACTCACGGATTGTCGAGCCCCGAAGATTCGCGGACATTTCGACGCGGTTATACCTATCCGTTCGCAAGCCGGCGGGGGTGGGGCGGGGGGCGGCGGCGGCGGCGGCGAGAGAGGAGGCGTGCGAAGGACAGGGAAGGGGCGGGGTGTGTGTGCGCTGAAGAGGGACGGAGTGGAGAGCAACAGAGAGGGCAGGATGTGTGCGTGGAAACGGTTGGAAGTCATCGGTGTCGGTGCCGTCGCGAGTACCGTAGAGAGAATCGGGGGTTGGGGGTGGTCGATACGGCCCTGGGGCCGCGACAGCCGCGTCGGAGGCCTCCCCATTCTTCCTGCGGGCGTTTTTGCCTCTCTCCCTCTCCCCTCCTCCTGCGCCCTCCTACGCCCTCCTCCTCGCTCTCACGGCTGCTCACTCAATCGCTGGCTCAGTCAGATTCTTTCCCTCTCTCTCTCGCTCTCTCTCTCTGTTCTTCTCTGTTCTTCTCGCTCTTTCTCGCTCTCTCTCGCTCTCTCGCTCTCTCGCTCTCTCCGTCTCTCTTTCTATCGCCCGACTCTCTTCTTCTCCAGCCATCGCTGTGAACCTAGTCTCCTACCCATCGCCACCCAGTTTTCCACCCACGCTCCGCTTTCCAGCCGCCACCGACACCCCCGGCGCAGCCTGCCTAAACCCCCACCTGAACCTCTGCTTCCATCGCCTAACTCTTCCTCTGCTTCCTCACCCCCTCCCCCCAAGTCGCGTCGTTGCCGCCGCTGCCGCCGCCGCCGCCACCACCGCCGCTCTCATACCGCCTGTCCCCTTGCCGACCCCGCCTAATCGCACCACCCCTGCCTTGATTAAAGAACAGAGAGCCTCAACTTCAGCGCGGCCCTCGCTCTCGTTCATTCGCCTCTCCCACCCCACACCGGTTCCCATCGTCTCTCTCCTCTCCTCTCTACACTCCTCTCCACGCCGTTCCTTTTTTTTTACCCAGCGTTTCTATTTTTTGACCGACTCTCTGTCCTTTCCACCCCTTTCCCTCGGCTTCCTATTTTCTTGTTTTTCTTCTTCTTCTTTTTCTCTTTTTTTTCACTCGTTCTCTCCCGTCACCGAAGATTGTTTGTACTACTTCTCGGTGACGTCTTCTTCTTCTTCTTCTTCTGCTGCTCGCAGCGCGTGCACGTTCACGCGTCGGATGTTCCCGGAAGTTCCCGGAAACGGAAGGTCCTTCCGCCGCCACGTGGCCGCCGCGAAGCTGCAGAAGAAAATTCGCTTCCTTTTTGTCACGCGGAAGTCGCTTCGGTTCTCTTATTTTCCCTCTCTCTCTCTCTCTCTCTCTCTCTCTCTCTCTCTCTCTCTCTGTCAATCTCTTTCTCTCTCTCTGTCAATCTCTCTCTCTTTCTCTCTCTCTCTCTCTCTCTGTCAATCTCTTTCTCTCTCTCTCTCTCTCTCTCTCTCTCTGTCAATCTCTTTCTCTCTCTCTCTCTCTCTCTCTGTCAATCTCTTTCTCTCTCTCTGTCAATCTCTCTCTCTTTCTCTCTCTCTCTCTCTCTCTGTCNCCCCCCTCTCTCTGTCAATCTCTCTCTCTCTCTCTCTCTCTCTCTCTCTCTCTCTCTCTGTCAATCTCTTTTTCTCTCTCTCTTTCTCTCTCTCTCTCTCTGTCAATCTCTTTCTCTCTCTCTCTTTCTTTCTCTTCGCCGTGCCGCCGCGAAGCTGGAAAAGAAAATTCGCTTCCTTTTTGTCACGCGGAAGTCGCTCCAGTTCTCTTATTTTCCCTCTCTCTCTTCTTCTCTCTCTGTCTCTCCCCTTCTCACTCTTCCTCTCTCTATCTCTTCGCCGTGCCGCCGCACCCCTCCGACCGCCCCCGACCGAACCGTAAGAATCCCGCGGCGGGCTCCTTTCTTCGCCGCGGTCCTCCGCATCTTCTTCCTTTCCTCCGTCTCTCCCCGTTCTTCGGTGTTTCCCTCGTGCACCGGTTTCAAGGTTAAGATCACCGAAGAAGGGCAGGGAGGAGGAGGAGGAGGAGCCGGGGGAGGGTGGAGGAGGAGGAAGCGAGGAATAGGGCCGGGATGGATGTGTATAGTCGCGGGGAGGACGTCGCTGCTGTGCCCGCGACGCGGGTCGACGCACCGCGCCGATGAATCGGTGCACGGCACCGAAACTGGATCGTGGAAACTGATTTTAGACCGAGCCGCCCCGACGACCGACGCGGCAACTGCGAGATGAAACTGTATCCGTCGTGGTCGGGCCCGCAAGGATGACGGGCTCTCTTACCCGGGAATATGCAAATCCCGCGCCCTCGGCCGACTAGCTTCCTTCTTCTTCTTCATCGTCTACTTCTTCTTCTTCTTCATCATCTTCTTCTTCATCTTCTTCATCTTCTTCATCTTCTTCATCTTCTTCATCTTCATCTTCATCTTCATCTTCATCTTCTTCTTCTTCTTCTTCATCTTCATCTTCATCATCTTCTTCTTCATCTTCTTCATCATCATCATCTTCTTCTTTATTCCTCGTCGAGACACCGGGATAGCTTTATTCCTTATTCGGCTCCCTTCTTCTTCTTCTTCATCTTCTTCTTCATCATCTTCTTCATCTTCTTCTTTATTCCTCGTGGAGACTCCGGGATATCTTTATTCCTTATCCGGCCTCGGCCACCATCCCTCAGTCCGTCCGTTCGCGGCCTCGAATCCCTCCGATTTCCGGGAACATCTTGCCCCCTGGGTGTCCCCTCTCGTCGCTGCGACGACGACGATTCGTTGTCGCGTTCCGCTGGTCGTAAAGAGCGCAACGAATTCTCCCTGAAGCTTGAATCGCGCATAAAAATGCACGGTTTCGGCAGTGAACAAAGTCTTCCAAGCAATGTCTCCCTAATTGACGCACGGATTGTCCACGAAAGTTGACAATTCGGGGAGAACAGCCTTGCGAACTCGATGCTTGCGACTCGTTTTTATAGTTACCGATTTTCAAGAGTTATCAGAACGAATTAGAAGCCTCGAATAATCGTATCTCCTCTTCCCTAACTGTCCATTTTTGTGCGCCATCTGGGCGTCAAATGTAGCGGACAATCTGAGCGTCAGTAAGGGAGACATTACTGTATTCCTTTCGGAGTAAAATATTGCCAAGAGGACCTGCACAGATTTTTGTCTCTATTCAACCCTGAAAGTGCTGCTAGAACTTGATTTATTCGACTCGACGAAGACGTCGCGTTGCACGAGCTTTCGTCAGCTAGATGAGCACTCGGTTATCACCCTGAAGAACATCCAACTAACGAGTGTATAACATGGAATGTTCAACCGGCTTGAACCGTTGCGTTGAATTCGTCTGATTGAAAATTAGATATTCCCAGAACGTATGTTCAATCGTTACCCGTTGTAGGCGACCATAAACGCGAGGGTAGTCGTGCCACTTCTTCCAAAATCGTCCACTTTTGTGCGCCAATTTCTGAGTGTCGACTGAGGAGCCAGTTTACCGTGGCCTGCAGAGCGACAGGCGTCGGTCGAACTTGAATTCCCTGAACAAAAATGTAGATCAGTTTCCGGAGAACTTGAAAAACCGTTTCCCAGTAAGAATTCTTCCAACCAGCATGCTGACATACGTCGGAGTAAAAAATTGTTAAGAAGGCCCGCAGATTTTGTCTCTGTTCGACCCTGAAAGTGCTGCTAGAACTTGATTTATTCGACTCGTTGTACGAGCTTTTGTCAGCTAGACGAGCACTCGGTTATCGCACTGAAGAGCGTCTGGTTGAGTTTGGCCGATTGAGAATTGTATGTTCACCGAAACGCGTGTGATTCTGTTGCAGTCGCTATTGAAAACGGCCGATCAGCTGAAGATCAAGGGGCTGTGCGAGGTGCCCGAGAGCAGGGACGGACCGCCGTCGGTGAGTTTGAGCTCGCCGCCGCGAGAGCCGGGCACTCCCAGGATAAATTTCAGCAAGCTAAAGAGGCGGTACAAACGGGCGAGGACCACGTTCGAGCCTCGCGCGACGGACTCGAGGCACTACGACCGATACAAAGAGGAGGAATCGAACGGGAATTACAATCCGGAGAACAAAGAGGTAAAAAGTTTTATTACCACCGGTGTGTAGCATACGTGTTCGCGACGGCTGTTTACGAGGGAACAGGCAAAAAAGAAAAAGAAAAGAAAGAAAGAAAGCACAGGGGGGTGGTGGGAAGCGCGCGGGATGCAAAAGGGAGAAGAAGCACGGGAAACGTGACAGCCGTCCAACGAACCACCATCTCGTCACGGTCGTCGCTAAATTTGTACCGGATATTCTGCAGAATCACAGGGACTGGCAGACCGAAGATGAAGATTGCACGGAGGGCGCAACAGGAACAGTAGTCTTGGAAACCTGCCAACGGACCAATAACAATAACAACAACAACAATAACAACGGTAACGGTGCGAACAACAATAATAACGGTAAGTGGGCGGGCTAGGGTTCACGCCCCACACCTTACACCCCTCGCATTGTTCCCTTTTTATTAAGGGGGGAAGCGAGTGGCAACACGTAAGTTTCTTCTCATCGGAGTCTTTCAACTCGTTGTACAGTAATGTGTCTCCCTTACTGACGCTCAGATTGTCCACTAAAATGGAGGCAGTATATATATTATAAATATTTATTATATTATAAACTATAAATATATTATAAACATAATATAACAGTTTATAATAGTAATGTCTCCCTAATTGTACAGTAATGTGTCTCTCTTACTGACGCTCAGATTGTCCACTAAAATGGAGACAGTATATAATAGTTTATAATATAACAGTTTTTTATAATAGTAACGTCTCTCTAATTGTACAGTAATGTGTCTCTCTTACTGACGCTCAGATCGTCCACTAAAATGGAGACAGTATATAATAGTTTATAATATAACAATTTATAGCATATAGTTTATAATATAACAGTTTTATAATAGTAATGTCTCCCTAATTGTACAGTAATGTGTCTCCCTTACTGACGCTCAGATTGTCGACTAAAACGAATACAGTAATGTCTCCCTAATTGACGCTCGAATTGTCCACGAAAATGGACAATTTTTGGAAGAGAAGATACGATTGTTCGAGCCTTGTTGCTCGTTTTTTATGGTTACCGATTGTCAACAGCTATAAAAGCGAGTCGCAAGGCTTGAATGATCGTATCTCTTCCTCCCAAATTGTCCATTTCTGTGGACAATCTGCTGAGCGTCAGTAAGGGAGACATTACTGTAATTTGGGAAGAGAAGACACGATTGTTCGAGCCTTGCTATAATTGTGGACAATTTATAACTGTAAAAATAAACCGCGAGGCTCGAATAATCTTAGAAATAATCTTGGGAATAATCTTCGAATAATCTTCGAAATTTAGGCTTCCCAAATTGTCCATTTTTCTGCGCAATCTGGGCGTCAATTAGAGAGACATTACTGTACTGTACACCAAGCTGTTTATGTAAAGTATCATTTATGAGATCGTGTAGAATAAGACTCCAAGTTCATCATCAAATGTTATGCTAATTTGGCGAATTATCTGATAAAGTATTGAGGGTACGAACAAACTTTAAGTTACACGCTGCGTTACGTTAAGTTACATGCTAAGAGTCGGATGATACGACATAAAGTTGTCGAGGTTCTTTTACGTTATTAACCCTTTGCACTCGAGTGGCGACTCTGAGGCACCATTAAAATGTATGATGTCACACGTTCTAAAATCATTTTTACATTAGCAAAGCTTAGATTGAAAAAGATAGTTAAGAACGTAACCGTTGTGCGAGTCGCAAGAGTCAATTTCATATGCGCAAGATGCACTTTTTCATGTGAAATAAAAATACTGTAAGTCGGAAAAATTGTTTTAGATTTACGATTGAAATAGCTTCGAGTGCAAAGGGTTGAAAGAAGTCGAAGGGTTGAAGTTCCATCTGCTATCTTCGCAGAATCTTCGTGTCTAGAGGTCTTAGCCTTTTTTTTTTTAATTTTCCTCTCTACTTGCACGTGATATATGTGTATTACGAATTAATCTAATCTCAATTTTCGGTCTCCGTCTTGTCAAAGCAATACTGATTATATATTATTATATTATATAGCATAAAGTCAATAAGCCGTGCTGCGTGGATCTGAACAGAGGTGTTGCAGGATAAAATACCATCATCAAGCACCGAACAAATTGATTAATGAACAACGTTTTTCCTCTGCTGAAGCTCGTACCGAATTCCAGTGTCCCATCATTTTTAGTATTGTTTTGCGACGAGAATTTATATCCATTGTAAGTTGTATATGCATGTACATGTGTCTTCCTACTTCATTTAATAGGAATCATTTTCGTCTCAACGCATAAAACCTGTGTCTTAAAATGAATTTAACGACATGCTTGCTTTCGACAAAAGATTAAAGAAAACCTAATCAAATAGAGCTACTTGCAGTAGCAAAATTGTACGTGTAACGCAAAGTATGTGTATAATATCATTTAATATTTATAATAGCATTTTATATTTAATTTTTGCTTACTCTCCTGGGTCGTACACGCTTTATAATGTTATAACGTTGCAATATGTATGTCTTATGGAAATTCGCTTCATTACCAATGATACTTCCGCTCTAAACAATTCCAGGGTAATTAATTTTAGGGTGCAATGTGTATATCTTATAGAAATTCGCTTTGTTACCAATGATACCTCCGCTCATAGGTCCCGACCTTCTCCCAAGGAAGATACTGGGATAAATGCCATGGGGTTCGTCACAATCTTCTTACCAAAATGCATTGCCTCGCCCGCCCTCTTCGCCGTATGCTAAGGAACAAAGTTCTGATTGTTTAGTAATAGAGCAACAGGCCGTTTGTTATCCCTAAATCTTCTCTCTAAACAATCGAGGTATCGGCACTCGATAGTCGGTAGCTAAAAGACTCAACACGATCACCAACCATCGCGCCCTCTGTTCCTAGATTTGTTTAGTCTCACTCATGCATTCTTGGGGCCACGAGACCCTGTCATTCTGTCAAGAACCAGACGTTTTCATAAACTGGTTGAATTGTCAACAAGTATAAAAGCGAACCGCTCGAATAATTGTATCACCTCTTCCCAAATTGTCCATTTTTGTTTCCAAGCTGAGCATCAATTAGGGAGAATTTACTGTAAATGCCATGAATTATTACACATTCACTTAGCAGAAGATACCCTCGCCTTCCTCACTTTGTATCATAATTCTTCAAAAACAATATATTTATTCTTCTAAACTTTATTCTTCTCGACTTCGACTTGTAAGCCATCGTCAGAGGTGTTTGTCTATCAATAAAATAGAAATATGTCCTCCAATCAGCAGTTAGCAGTCTTAGCTAACATGCAACGCTGTAAAAATAATAATTATCCAGAAGTATGTGGAAAGACTATGAGATACGCTGCAGAAAAGCGAAAAAGTTTTGATTTGAAAACATTAACAATATAAAACTGTTCACATTTATCAGCAGATGCGCTTCTTCGTAACTTAAAGCTTTGTTCGTACCTTCAAGACTTCCCATAATAATTATCAATTCGATGGTTCAGTCTCAACGATGCTTTGTTCTATTTATACGTGTAACAACTTAAAAAAGAGTCCCGCGAAAACATTTTGTTTGCGATGGTTCCACGATAGAGAGAGAGACCGGGGGGATGAAAAAACAAATAAATATTGTCCTTTGTAATGCAAAGCACGTGACGGTTTCAAGGTGTGGGGCGGTTAGTCACTTCAAGAAATAACAGGACAGACTCTTTTCACTTGTAATTAAAAGGTGACATGTTCTGTCATACAGGGCTCGGACACTATGGTCACCATCCAGATCCTGGGGAAGTCGACCTGCCCCCAGAGACCCAACCCACCCCACCCAGCGCAACATTGGTCGGCACTACGATCACTCACCTGAGGGACCCGGATCACCATTCCACAGGTGCACTATCGTCCTGGATTCGACATGACCATTAACCGTGCACTAATCACCATCGACAGTTCATATCGCGCTAAGAAAGTTCCAAATTCAATGTTATACTTTGCTCGTGGGAACAATTACTTTATGATTCACAATATAATTATGATATCACAATACAATTATAATATTCACAATATTATAATATTCACATATAATATTCACAATATAATTATAATATTATTACATACTATTATTATAATATTATGATATCATGTTAAATTAAATACCAGCGTAAGCGCCGTCCGCTTTCAAGCGTCCAAGGAAGTTAAATTTGGAAACGCATTATAAACATATACTGGGTATTAATTTTTAACCGAGTGCTCTTTTCGCCAGGGGGGTGGTATTTTCTACGTGTTGAATGATGCCGGTGGTGAATCGTTTGGGGGAGTAAAAGTAGAAGCCGCGTTCGTTAGACCGGGGAGAGAATCAAAATAATTGGTCTAATCAGGCTTAACTAGTCGCGATTAGATTTGCGTTGCTCGGTTCGCGTAACCAGCCCACGCAACCTCATTTAGTGCACGCATCTAGCTTTGCCTTAGTCGCCACTTCTTTCGCGGAATTCAGGTGGCCGGAAAAACGGAACAGAAAAAACCGCCGCGCTCGAATCTCTCCGTATTCATATCCCGCGAGCGAGACCCCGGTTTAAAAATGAAGCCGACAGTGTCGTCATCTCGTTCCACGTGTGTGTTCACAGAGATACAGAACTGCGACAGTGTGAAGATAAAGTTCGAAACGTTGCACACGATGGACTCGTCGGACACGATCGACATCGACAGCCACATGTCGGACCGGGCGAGCGTCAGTTCGAAGAACGCGGCGGACAGTGACAATATGATGATGATCACGCCGGAGCTCCTCGGTTTAATGCCCTCTGGAAGCTCCGTCCACTCGGATTCCGGCGAAAACAACTCGAGGGGACACTCCGGCCAATCGAGCTCCCATCATCACGGATCGAAGTCGTGGACCCAGGAAGACATGGACGCAGCTTTGGAAGCTCTGAGGAACCACGACATGAGCTTGACGAAAGCCTCCGGTAAATTAATCAACGAACTCTGTGAACCCGTTCGTCCCACGGTTCCAAGCATCGTTTGTTTTCGATCATTCTGTTTTTGTATGTATTTAATGCTGAACCTACCGCGGTCAACGTGACCGCTTTCTTATTTTGCAATTCTGCAATTTCAAGTTCCGAGACTCTTTCGTGGAAAACGCTTGAATAAGTTATATTTCTAGTTATATTTATTGTATAAAGTAATTATATATATTAGTACTATATTATTCAGTAGTATAGTATACTAGTTTAATTTATTATATAAACTTTACGAATTCCAAATAAATTCGGTCTTCTCACATTTGCGAAGCGGTACGTGCCAGTTAGTATTACTGCTTGGTAGGTTTAGTGTTAAAGCAACATGTGAGAGATCAGAATATCCTAACGCATAGTTTCCCAATGTAGTTGGAAGTTACGTTTTTGGAAGTACAGTAGGAAGTATCGAAGAGTTAGGGTTGTAAAAACGTTTGAGAAACCGAAGGGTGTATTCTTCATTGAATTTTTTGGGTATTTTTCACGAAGATGAAAAGATGTAATAACGTGTCGTTTAGGGTGGCTTTCATCGTTCACGTTACTGTATTCAATTGCAACCCCCAATCTAAATAATAGTAATAAATAATAAATAATAGTAATAAAGCAGGAAAAACCTGTTCTGACAAAATGGCAGCCATGTAAACAAAAAAATCATTTTTCTATAAAAAAAATTGTTAATTGTTCCCATCGAAACTGTTGAAAATATTGATATTATTTTTGTCCCAGCAATAAAAATACAGCTATTCATAAAAAGTTTCTGAAGAAAAACGAGTTAGAAGTTTAGCCTGCAACTTTAACATATGTATACCGCATGTATGGTTGATAACACTTTAGTTTGCTATTCCTGGGGAATAAATAAGCCTTCTACTAAAAGAGACTCATACGTCGCTGATTAAAAAAATGTTTTAATTAATATGATTAATACAATTTAATATAATTTAAGTTTTATTTGTATATGATATCATCCCTGAAGAGAAAATGCAATTAAACAATAGATCGTTTGACTGCTCTAATGAAGAATACCTCCTTAATCGCGTAAGCTTTTTCTTATTATATATATTGTATTATATTATAATATTACCGTTGCAACAATTATAATGAATGATTCATTACACAATTTCGTAACCTGGGTACCAAAGGATACACGAAACGCTAAAATGTACATTTCTAGTTTCTACTGCCGTACAAGCATAAAATTTCACTTTCCTGTAATAGTGAAAAAGGTTTAGAAATTATGTTCCAACTGAATGATGCTTTGTTTAGATAACTTTGATACGTTCCCACTGATTTATTCATCCGTGATAACCGGCAACTTGGCGACGTTTAATCTGAACGATGTTTATCTTAATCGTTTCAGCAACGTTCGGTATACCGTCGACGACGTTATGGCAAAGAGCGCACCGATTAGGCATCGACACGCCAAAAAAGGATGGACCAACGAAGTCGTGGAGCGACGAGAGCCTGAACAACGCGCTTGAAGCGCTAAGAACTGGCACGATCTCTGCCAACAAGGCTTCGAAGGCATTCGGCATACCTTCCAGCACGTTGTACAAAATAGCGAGGCGGGAGGGCATCAGATTGGCCGCGCCCTTCAACGCCAGTCCGACTACTTGGTCGCCTGCCGATCTGGACCGCGCTTTAGAAGCAATAAGGTCCGGTCAAACGTCTGTACAGAGAGCTTCGACCGAATTCGGTATTCCAACGGGCACCTTGTACGGTAGATGTAAAAGGGAAGGCATCGAATTGAGCAGAAGCAATCCCACGCCGTGGAGCGAGGATGCTATGACCGAGGCACTCGAAGCCGTCAGGTAAAATCACTTCTTAGTGGTGCTTAAGTTTTTATATAATTAGAATTAAATGATAATGTCAGGCGAGCATCGGAGAGAACAGTTCTACGAACAGCTCGCGAGCTGTTCGTCACTGAAAATATCAGCTTCTTCACATAAGTTTGCTCGCTTTGAATCCATGGTCAATTACAAACGCGTCGAGCTCGCGAGCTGTTCTTTCGATGTACCGCTACACGAGCGAGCAGTGTTCTCAGTTCGCTGAGGAGCTGCTAGCAAGCTGCTAGCGAAAGCGTCCACGTTGCTAGCGAGCTGCTCGCGAAATAATTGAATTTAAACAAAATAATTGAATCTCGTGCATCGGCTTGTAAACTAATGGAGAACGTGCTTTACTTCTGTGTTCCAGATTGGGTCACATGAGCATCAATCAAGCAGCCATTCACTATAATTTACCTTACTCGTCGCTGTACGGTCGGTTCAAGAGGGGGAAATACGAAGAACCTTCGGTCGGTGATCTGTCGCAAGATGGTAGCAATCCGCATTTCCATCAGAGCCCGAATCAGAATCATTCGTCAGCCGTTCCGGATCAAATGCCCTACCAAGGCAGCTGAAACTTACCTCTTTATTAGAGCGTTAAGTTAATTTAATCATGGAACTGTTCGTCTGCCGCCGTTCGATCCGATTCATTAGGAAAGAACGTTAAAGAAAAAATAAAAAGGAAAACAATAACACCAGCATGAGAACCGCCGAGAGGAGGCCACCGACCAAACTTATCACAGAAGAATAATTGGCTGAGGAACTGCTGCAAAGAACACGTAATAAAGGGTGGGTTTCGAACCTGCGAAGTGGGATGGGGGAATTGTAAGGGTAGGGAACACTCAGTATTAATGGTGGATTACCGTAAAGAGAATATTATGTAAATTGTACGATTTTCAATGTCAAATCGAAAACCGTAGACTAATTCTAATTTATAAGAATTATTTATAAAGAGAATACTTGTACAGTCGGGTGATGATATCCCGGTAAAAACCTACTTCTAGCGTGTAAGTCGCCCCACGGGCCGATCAGCGAGGATTTAAAATATTCTACTAACGGATATGATTTACTAATTTAAACAGCGGAACGCAACCGGATCGGTTAACTTAATTCGTTTTACGCATCGATTACGCATACTCTGTTGTTCGTCTCGTTTCTTCCTTAGATCTTGTTGATTGTCCATGCTCGAAGCGCAGCTTCGTTTCTTGTAATCTCGACATAATCGAAATCCGTGTATCCTTGACGAAACGTGAACGATGATGCTTTTTCGTATATGAATAAAGGAGTTTATACATTCGTGAAACGTTTTAGGTAAGATTGGAAACAAAAAAAAAGAATTGTACACGCACATTTCTACACATGCGAAAACATATGTACACATTAAATACACACGCGCGCGCGTGCACACACGAACACACATTCATTGTACACACGCACACCTATATTTATAAAATTAAAATACGTACCGGTGAAAGTGACGGTCGCTAAATCTCACCATGAAAGTGAGGGGAAATTGTGTACCTACGTTATAAAATAATTCGTGAGACTAGATTTATAAAGTCACATTTGAGTTGTTGGATTCTAACAAGCAATTTCGGTTGGAGACCTATCTTCGAGTTTCGTTGAAACAATATATAATAATTTTTTGACAATTTTCACTAGAAAGTGGAAATTGTACTGTACGTGTTTGTGAAGCAAGTTTGTGAACAAGACAGACGTCGTGAAAATGTAAATCTAGAAATGATACTTTAAAACTGTAAGATTACACTTGTTTTGTAATTTCGTTCCGTCGTTTGTTGCGTACTTTAAGTAGATCGTTCAAAGTTGCATTTCTGTGTTTTCTTCTTCTTTTTCTTTTTTTTTTAGAAAGGACTGAATAGGATACATTAATAAATATAGACAAAACATGAAGCTCCGTTTAAAAAACGTGGAGATGAAAATATAGTGAAAGCGGGGTTTTTGTGAATTTTATTGTTTCTTGAAAACAGAGAAGTTATTTCTCGTTCGACTCAACTGCCAAGTGTAAAAAATATGTTAAATGTATTATTAATTTATCATGCTCACAACTATTATATGAAAAAAAACATGAATATATATATATATACATGAATATATATATATGTATACATATATATATATATTTACATATATATACATATACATATATAAATATATATATATCCAT